AATTAGTCTCTAAGCTTAAAATACGGCAATAATTATGATTATGTTATCAGAGACAGCGACTGGGTCGTGAATATTCGTTTACGCAGCTGTCGTCTATTTACATGTTTCAAATTGCGGTTATCCCAGCTAGCGAGTGCTTAATCTGCACAATGTATGCACATGTGATATATCAAACTCACCAGTGTTCACTGCAGTTGCAAGCATAAAATGAGCAAGAAAGTTTTTAACCAAGGAAAGTCGAATACCTATAAACGTCCATAATTTGTAACACCTGTTTCACCTACATTATTTCGGAGCATATTATTATACATATTATTATCATACCATGGGCTGTTCCTTTTTCGAAGTTCTATCAGCCTTAGACACCCAACGCAAGCCATAAACTTCATACAATCATATGCTTCGTAATCAACAAAGGAAAAGGAATAACTATTAACTACGCAGTTTGATGCCTTTGTATATCTGACAGCTATTCAACCAGTACTCATATATAAACACTCATCAAGAAGCAAGTCAACACGCTAGATGTGTTTGAATGCTTTTATTGGCGCGTAATAATCGGCTACACTCTAGACGATAAGATCACTAATGCCGAATTACTCGATAATACTAAAAAAGCACAAGAGGAATATATTGTTGTCACTGCTGCTTGTAAGCGTTATCTGGAGAGCAACAGCTAAACAGAGCAGCAGCTAAACAGTCTCTTTTGTGGCACGTTAATGGAAGTCTGACATGCAGGAAGGAAGTACTCGGATAACCTTAAGCATAAGCGCTTAGCAAAGGACGTATCCGTGTCGCAATCAGATCAGCATCCAATGCTGGTCTTTTGTCAGCTTTCAAACTGGCTCCCTTCCCTTCCAGTCCCATGGTCGGCTTGGATACGAGGAACGTTATTCGCGGCTTCTGACATTCATGACATCGAATCGGAACAAGACTCGGTCTGTCAGTTTTTCAGAGAGCGTGCGTCTCCAAACAGGCGGTTCTGAGTGTGTGATCGTTCGTTACCCGATGATCACACCGCAATTTGAGGATTCCGCGCAAGCGACGTCATTGGAAAAGGTTCAGCTGATGTTCCTTGTGTTTCAGTGGTGCAATCGTTCCGAGGCCATACAAATGAAATATGTCAAATGGAATATATCGACCACATACAAAATATGTCAGCTTTCTTAATGATGAAATAGTGAAACTAAAACGCTCGACGACCCGATGATCAACATCATGATTAATACCGTGCAAAACTGATACTGTACAAGAACGAGGGGCAAATCAGAAGTTTCATGGCTGATTCAAGGATGAAATGACTACAATGGAAATGGGCCACACGTACCAACAAACATCAAACACAGCCTGGCAAAGCGACTGGTTTGCAGTCATATCGGATGATACACAAAACAGAAAGCAATGGCAAATAGTGATCAGAATCATACTGGAAAAAGGACAATATAATATGGATAATACAGACTGGAAAGACTTCCAAAACAACTGGATCAATAATCTGCCCTGGCGTGATCACATAACGCCAGAGACTAGACTTCGGAAACTTATAATCATGCTGGTCATATAATGAACAGATAACCGAACAGCATGTATTAAATCTGACCCGCGGTCAGATAATAGAGGGAATATATCGAGCAGTTTTCGAATATTAATAGAAAAGCACTGTCCTCAATCTTTTCTTTCGCACTTCGTCGTCAACGCACCATTGAAACAATTGGCAGATCAATGAATGGGTGAATACATGAATCAGTGATTGAATTAATGAAATAAATGATTCGCGAATGTATCGAGTAAGACTCTGCTCTGACACACACTGACCGTAGCGATAACCTACTGCAACACAATAACAAATCTGTTGCTTTGTTGGGAAAGTAGATGACGTACACCCTGCTGCCTTCAGGAATTAATACAAAACTTAGTAATGTGCAATTCTTCTTCCGGGGCTCGTGATCATAGCTTGGATTGAAACGTGCATGAAATCAATGCTTTGAACAATGCTGAAAGCACACTCTACATCGGCGTGGTCTCATAATTCCATACCTCATGAAATTTATGGTCATTTTAATTCTCTCTGCAGAGCAGGCAGTATATATCATACTGTCTTCGCAGACTGATAATGAGTTCAAATATACTTTAGCACGGATTGGTGGTAAAAGTATCGTCCTAAGTCTCATCGGTATTTTCCTATTCACTGCTTTAAGAAAGCCTCTCCAAGACTCCGCCTTTCCATACACTGCTTTTACCTGCTATTCACGTCAGTCTTGATCCCGCAAACTTCTTCAGTTCATTCTACCATCGACGAGGTCTTCCTATGGATCGTTTACTCTCTCTTGGAACCAAGTTCAGTGTCTCTCTGGCAGAGTAATGGCCGGTTCATATGGCAACGTGTCCTGCCCGTTGAGACTATAACTTCTACACATGGGTAATGACATCTTAAAAGTTGTTTTATGGTCTTATCCATTCATTCGTCTTTATATCCTTCCCTGTTACTTCAAACATTTTTTCATGATGCGTTGCGTAGTCTGCAATTTATGAACAGTTTCCAGCCTAAGGGTCAACGTTTCGTAACCTCAGGTTAGCAGTGGGATATAAACATATTTACCTTAACAACAACTGTCTTCGACTGCCTCATTAGCGGCCACAAGTCTCCAATAATAATGCAATCATCTAAATTGAGTTTACAGACAGGGTGTATCTATCGATTTAAAACTAAAATTCAAAATTAAAAAATTACACAGCTGATTCATAACGATATTGAAGTGAAGCATCTGCTAGACTTGCGAAGAATAAGGTCACCAATAATGAAGTATGCTAAGTCGTTACCGTCGGTCTAGTACAAGTCTATTACGCGTAATAACAGTAAAGATTAACTAAGAGACGACGACGAGTCGAGCATTGACAGAAACGTGAAAGTGAAAAGGTCAATCAGTGGTGATGGTCCGAGGCATCGATCTGAGGCAAAATCAATAACGAAACGTTACTCAAGTTCAGCCGAGTGATATCTCGGACGGAGGGAGGTCCGAGACGCGCAGAACGACCAACATGATCGTCATCGGCGAATGCCGCGTCAACGCCTTAACGGTGCCCATAACTTATGTCCTGTCAGTATATAATTTTCACTGTTGCTGGCAGGCCAGTCAAGCATTAAAATACAAACTACAGGTCTGAAAGCATTTTACTACCGTAGCTGCTATGATCGTCACCACAGCAGCAGCAAGTGTACAGCGAATAAAGATACAGATGAAGAAATACAGATTCCCATCATTACAAGACAACCAAATACACTGATATGATGGACACTGACCGTCTGATGAACAAAAATAACAAAACTTCAAAAGCAAAACATGTTTGTATAGAAATCAACTTAAATTTTATAGGTTTAACACTAACAGTCTGGTAGTTTTTAAAATAAAGCATGTTGATATACGTGAATCAACACAAAAATTGTTACGAGTCGAACAATTATGATGTGTGTCAGAATAGGAATATGTAACATACAGCGATATACAGTAGAATACAGCGATGCTGACCACAGGTAAGATGAGGATGAAGAGAGAGTAGACCTTATGAACCTACACTACCTTCCGCTGTACTGAGACACTAAAGAACTGCAAAATGTGGGCAACCTGCAAGCGAAGGAGTTTCGATATTCATTGGCATTTGTCCCCCCCCCTTTCAACGAGAAAATTCTTCATACATCCGAAGTTTAATAGTGAGGTAAAGAAAAGAACAGCTACGGGACGGTGTAGACGGGTAATACCTCAAGCGTCATATTTCAAAGCTCATTAATGACATGTTCCGGCAGAGCTGTCATCGTCGATCGGCCGGAGAATCTGAGACGGCAGCGGCTGAAGCGGCGGCATGACAAGGGACCTTAATGACACCACGCAACAGCAAGACAACGAAGACTAACATGTCTAAGCGAAGAAAGACATTTCCGGTCGATGACTAATCCATCGAAACCACCGCCACGGTTCGATCGAACGTAGTGAGGGAAAAGAAAAGTCAAAAAAAAACGAAAATGAGCTAGGGAAGGGCAAACGATTGTCTACGAGGAAAAACCAAACAATCTAGTAAAAGAGAAGACAACCAGGACAACAAAATACAAAGCAATTTCAGACCGATTCACAGCAAAGACCTGAATACACAACGCCGTCCTACGTCCACCAATACTCATTACCATCAGTTTAAATCAATTTTTGTTCGTTTAGCTGACTTCAGCTCGTTGAGTGCGGTCGGGACAGAATTCCAAACATGTCAAAGGCGGAATAAAATTAAAACTGGGGCGTCAAAATACCGACTCGGTCAGTCAGCAAAAGATTTACAAGACTTTCTGCATTGGTTGGAGGAAATTTAAGGTCTTGTTTTGTTGGTTTTAAATTCACTAGTAATCTTATTTTTTATAATCAGCACAAGAGGTAGACAACTCACGGGTCAACTCAATTCCTATGAATAACGCAGTTCTAATGATCGGGAAGAGTTTACTTTGCCAAACGTCGACGGGGCCCACGTCGAGACAGTAAGATAGTCGTATCTGAGTGACAGCCGGAAATCGTTGCTACATTAGTCACTGGCAAAGCACAAGCTCAAATAAAGAAAGTCCAACTGAACACAATAAGACCGGCTCAACCGAAATCTCAAAATCCGATGCCACACATTCCGACTTCATTCTTGGTCAAGTTCAAACATACCAATAAACGGCTGCACAGCAAGCCCATCATATTCGTCATCGTTATTGATCCGATGCTCGGATTCGTACCGCGAACAACAGACTAGTCTGATGAAAAATTGGTTTGAAAAAACAGGTTAGTCAACGTGGCAGCAGAACACGAGTCCCAAATATCTCGAGCAATGGGCTATGCTGTTGCCTCTCCCCTTCTCAGCAAATAATAATCACTTCATGCTCTTAAATCGCGGTCCCAGGAACAGTGGTCCAAAAGTCAGGCTCTGTGAAAGCCACAAAGTGTGCAATGCCGGAACAATAGGAACAGTACCTAAAAACAATGAGTTCGGCAAGACTCGACTGTGTGGTAAAACCTCCACAACAGGGATCCGAGCGACTGGTCGCCGTCGACAAAACGGATCAACGAGGAGACGCTGCGGTTCCAAAAAATAGCCTCGGCCTCTTTGCTGCGACCATCACAACTTGGAGCTGCGGCCGCAGGCACAAAGCCAAACCCATACTCGAACTGAGTTTTTACGTAAGCGCCTTCCTACAGTTTCCGATCTTTGACCACAACATCATGGCGATGGCTCTAATGGCGGTGTCGCTCGGACCAACTCGAAACACCTCGAAGTCGACTGACGACCACCGCAACGACGACCACGACAACTGCAAATCAATAGTAACGCACAAATTGTGCAGCCTTCGACGCAAAAATATGCATCCTGCGTGACACCGCTAACCAACAAGTTTTGAAACCGAACAACCGACGTACTTACTTTATGTATTACGGGGCATCTTACACCGAACTAAAAGAACGCGTTCGTAGTCTATGCACTTAGCACTTGTTTCGTATATTCGACTCGGAAAGCACAAGATATTTCGTTCTACTTGTACAGTAAGAGCTGATTTCGGTACTTGATTCACAGGTAACAACGAATAATGGACGAAATTACTGCATTTTCAAATTGTGCTGTCATGATGTTCATCGCTTTATGATCCCTACTACGTCTGTTGCGGTTTATTAGCTTATAATTAATTATGTACAAGCTTAAATTTTTAATTACTTTCCTGGACCATGTGTTTGAAAGATAAAATACAAAATATGCTATGATTGAAATCAATCATTTATTTCCGAGATTTAATGCTTATTGCGTATGGACTCAGACAAAATTTGAAGTCGAGAAGAATGATGGCGTCAGAAACATAATACTTGCAAAAAATTAACACACTTGAACGGTGTGTAGGCATTTGTTGTTACTGTATTTGTTTGGATCATTGTCCTAAGTATTTGCATGCACTACTTGATTCTTTCATAAAGCCAATCAATCAGTTTATTTTAATGACCGCTTATTCTTCTGTTTCGAAGAGGTGTACACATCAGACGAGTCAGACTTGATTGAAGACAATTTAGTTTTCATACTCAACCTTGCTAGTCATTCGAATTCGCCGGCAAATCTCCTACTCAAGTATGCCGATGAGCATTTGATGAGCACAATCCCGAGGAACCTGAACCTCTCCACCTGCTCCCCTGCTTCTCCTGCCGAGTGCAACGGGCAGAATTGTCTTCAGGTAATTGTCTAAAATTAAAGGATTTCCGCCAAGGCTGCGTTCTGTTCCCTCTGATGTTTGTGCTGTTTATTGATTGAATAGTCAAACGCAGGCAAAACGATGGGTGCATCGGTATAGGAGATGTGGAGACGAGAAGGTTACCGTTTGCAGGCGACCTCGTTTTTCTGGCATCTTCTAAAACTGATCTACAGCGATCTCTGGCCGACATGCCTGTGAACGCATCTAAAACGAAAAGTCTAGTGCTTTCTCATTCGTCTGCCCGTTGCTTCCTTCAAAAGAAACGGGAAAGCAATGGAGCAGGTTAAGAAGCTCATGTATCTCGGAGTAGAGTTTACTTGTGATGGAAAATTTGAGGAGGAGATCGATGTGCGAATTGGATTAACAAATGTCGTTCTGCGTGAACCAGTCAGAACCACTGCGACTAAAGTAAAGCTGAAAACTATGCTCTCGGTAATCAAGTCGATCTTAATCCCTATGCTTACGTATGGTCATGAATCGTGGACCGTGACTGGAAAACTTCGACCGTAGGTACAAGCAGCTGTAACAGGCTTTCTGAGACTAGTCGCTGGCATTACACCCACTCCACATAGTCTGGAATACAGACATCCCCGATAACCTTAATATATAGCCGCTGCTTCTTCAGATTGAGAACTCACAGCTGCGATGGTTAGGGCATATGTTGCGAAACCCTCCAGAAAGCAAGGCGAAGTAATTCTTTCTTTCCAAGCCGATTGGCAGAAGGCCTCGCCTAAGTTCAGGCCCTGGATCAGCAACATCAGTAGCACTGTGTGACGCATTCGCGAACCGAACTGAGAAGCATTTATAGAAAATGAATGAATAAATTTATATGAGGACTCCTGATATTCGACTTTAAGACACTACATTCTCGTTATCATAGAGACAAATCCCTGCAATAGATAGCCCTACAAAAGATGATTTACGAACTCGAGTGGTTAATTTGGCGGTTTATAATGGCATTCGTATTGGTAAAAACATATCATTACACTGCATAATGGCGTCATCCGCTACATTACAGACGCTCGCAGTATTTGTTGCGAAATTCATATGCTAGTCAGGTAGGTCCTGATAATACCAGAAGGGAACTGTATCGCAGATCTATGATCCTCTTTCGGCGTGCGTTCCGTGTAATACAGCGAACATTAAGCTACAGTACTTAAATTTGCTTTATATTATGTAGTGCTGTTCTTCAATTCTTTCTCCATTTTCTTTGTTTCATCGCTCTGAACTGATTTCACCAGTTGTTCCTGGTCTGTTTTGCTAGCCTTAAGCGTAAAAATTCAATTCCTTTTCTGATATGTAGGAAGATTTTGTTTCTTTCCTCTTTTCGTTTGCTGAAAAACGAAATACCATTCAAACAGCAAACATTTATTCATATATAAATAGAGCGTCTCTCTCTTGTAAAGTCCGTTGTATCCACAACTGTTCAACACGTTTGCTAAAAGGCAGCGGAAAAAAGTGTTTTCTCCCGAAGCCTGGTATGCCTTTACTATCTTCTTCTACTGGCCTCATGATCGACGTTTGCCGTATACCTACTCCACACAAGAAGCACAAATGGCCGATGAAGGCATTATGCCCAACTCCTGCCAGTTTTTCCAAGAGGAGTCAACCCTCTTTTCTTAGTCTCCACATCTCTCGAGCTCATCTGTTCTTGGAAATAATGGAGTCACCACCTACGTAGTCCTGTCCCATAACTCTCATTAAGTGTCGCATAGCGAATGCTGTTGTTCACAGTTGAACTGTCTTTCTTGTCCCTTCATTGCAACTGTCTCGATGCCGCAAATAGCATTTACCTGACAGAGGCAATGAAAAGGATGATTTTCGTAGAGACAGTAGCTCATTTCTCAGTCCAGATATTGAATAGGTTTCTAAAAGCATTGGAAGCTACGTCATATTCCTATTTATTTCTAACTGTATAGTGCCTATCTGATGTAATGAAACCGATATACTCAAACTGGTCAACCTCATTGTTCCACTTGTAGTTTAACTGTGTTAGATAGGCTCCTCATAACTTTGAGTTCCTTTCGTTAAGAAAGAGACCGGCTACCCTAACGGCGTCTCATATGGAAGTCGTAACCTAACAGAGTCTGCTTCCGGTACAGCATACCAGGACAGTATAACCTGTGTACTCCGGATCAGCAAGATATCTAACCGGATATCTTGAACTGGCACATTCTTCTAGAATAGGCCTTTGTCTTTGCCAAATTTTTCCATTATTTCAGAGAAAAGAGTCGACAACAGGGTTGAATAGCAAGGAAAAAAACCGAATACTTGAGAACTCCACAGTTAACAAGGAACCACTATAACATGTGCTCCTTCAACTATCACAACAGACATGATTTCTGGATGCGTCTTTCTCAAAGAAACGATGTGCCCGTGTATCTGATTGCATTTCAAGTTTATCCATATTGTCAAACGATAGAGTGAATCAAATGCAGCTTGAAAGTCGAGGAAATTGGCAAATCAAGGGCAACTGGAATAGTCGGCATTACTGAGTGATCTAAGCATTGTAAAAATTTGGTCGAGGCATTTGTATCCTATCCGGACACATGCATGATTTTGGCGAAGTCTTCCGCCAATTACCTGTTTGAGCCTTTTCACGATTATCCAGAAGTTAAGTTTCCCAGCAATTGACACAGGTATGTGATACAACGATACAAGGACAATTACTCAACAATTCCATTC